CCGGCTAATTTTTGTGTTTTTAGTAGAGATGGGGTTTCACCACATTGGCTAGGCTGATCTCAAGCTCTTGACTTTGTGATCTGCCCACCTCGGCCTCCCAAAGTGCTAGGATTACAGGCTTGAGCCACCATGCCCAGCCTATTTGGCTTCATTTAGTGGAATTTTTCATCTTGAAAGTTGTTCCTTATTAAACATATATATATATATTTTTTTTTTCTTTTTTTTTTTTGAGATGGAGTTTTGCTCTTTTTGCACAGGCTGGAGTGCAGTGGCACCATTTCAGCTAACTGCAACCTCCACTTCCCGCATTCAAGTGATTCTCCTACCTCAGCCTCCCGAGTAGCTGTTATTACAGGCATGCATGCACCACCATGCCCGGCTAATTTTTTGTATTTTTAGTAGAGACGGGGTTTTTCCATGTTGGTCATGCTGGTCTCGAACTCCTGACCTCAGGTGATCCACCCGCCTTGGCCTCCCAAAGTGCTGGGATTACAAGTGTGAGCCACCGTGCTGGGCATAAACATGTTTTTCTTTTTTCTGGGTTTTTTTTTTTTTTTTTTTTGAGATGGAGTCTCGCTCTGTTGCCCAGGCTGCAGAGTGCAGTGGCGCAATCTCGGCTTACTGCAAGCTCAGCCTCCCAGGTTCATGCCATTCTCCTGCCTCAGCCTCCCAAGCAGCTGGGATTACAGGTGCCCACCACCACGCCCGGCTAATTTTTTGTATTTTTAGTAGAGATGGGGTTTCACCGTGTTAGCCAGGCTGGTCTCGATCTCCTGACCTCGTGATCCACCCGCCTCGGCCTCCCAAAGTACTGGGATTACAGGCGTGAGCCACCGTGCCCAGCCACATATTTTTCTTAACCCTTATTTGTGTCTGTTCAGTATCTTGATTGTGCAAAATAATCAGGTCAGGAAAATCTCACAGATTCTAGTTCTTATTTATTTGCTTTTTGAAACTGGATCTTGCTCTGTCACTCAGGCTGGAGTGCAGTGGCATGATCATAGCTGACTGCAGCCTCAACCTTCTAGGCACAAGTGATCCTCCAGCCTCAGCCTCCCAAGTATCTGCAACTACAGGTATGCACCTCCATGCCTGGCTAATTCATTTTTTGTAGTAGAGACAGGGTCTCACCATGTTGCCCAGACTGGTCTCAAACTCCTGGCCTTTAGTAGTCCTCCTGCCTCTGACTCCGAAAGTGCTTGGATTACAGTCATGAGCCACTGTCCTGGCCTAGTTCTTAATTCTAAAAAATACTATTGCTCATTTAATTTTACAGAGTATTGGAGGCAGGATGGATTTCTTGGATACGTTGCTTCTGTATTTTATCCCATGAACTATCAGGGTAATTTGATTATTTTCTCCTTATTCTAGGTTTGTGAAGTTTTCTATGCCCAGTGTTCCTGACTTTGAAACGCTATTCTCACAGGTTCAACTCTTCATCAGTACTTGTAATGGGGAGCACATTCGATATGCAACAGACACTTGTAAGCTAAATAACATTTTATTCTCCATTGAAAATATTTTGCCCTTGTGGTTATATTTATATTTTCAATATTTTGTTATTGTATCTAGTTGCTGGGCTTTGCCATCAGCTAACAAATGCACTTGTGGAAAGAAAACAGGTAAGAAATACTATTCAAGTATTCCTAGTTTTGTTAAAATATGTAACTAGCTTACACAGTGAACTACTTTATTAAGATTCCGGTTAGTACTGAGCATGCACCACCTAGATATCTGTGGTCACTTGAGAGCACTCACAGTCATTGCTGTAAGCACAGGAAGCCCCCACGTCCCCTGAATGAGGTGGGGGCATGGGGAGGTGTGGCGCCTCAGGGAGGCTGCTGCTGGAACCAGCAAGTAGTTGGAATTACCAAGCTAGTACCGTGTGTTTTTTTGTTGTTGTTGTTTTGTTTTTGAGACAGAGTCTCGCTCTGTCACCCAGGCTGGAGTGCAGTGGCACAATCTCGGCTCACTGTAAGCTCCGCCTCCTGGGTTCATGTCATTCTTCTGTCACAGCCTCCCGAGTAGCTGGGACTACAGGCGCCTGCCACCACACTCGGCTAATTTTTTGCATTTTTAGTAGAGATGGGGTTTCACCGTGGTCTCGATCTCCTGACCTCATGATCTGCCCGCCTCGGCCTCCCAGAGTGCTGGGATTACAGGCGTGAGCCACTGCACCCAGCTGCTAGTTCCCTTTATGTTGTAATATGCTGGGTTTTGTCTGTTACATTTTTTGTTTTAACTTTTAATTAGGACATTATTTTAGCCTTACAAAAAGCTTTAAGAATAATACAACAAATTCTCATACATTTCACCTAGATTCTCCAGATGTTAACATTTTATCACACTTATTTTTTTTTTCTCTTCCTCTCTCTTTTATTCTGAGCCATTGGAAAGTAAATTGCAGATATGCTATTGCTGTTCTTTATCCCTAAATACTTCAGTGGGTAAAGCCTAAAAATTAGGACATTCTCTTACATAGCACAGTGTAATGGTCAGCATCCAGAAATGAACTCTTACTTTTTTTATTTTATTTTTTTTTTCGGAGACAGAGGCTCGCACTGATGCCTGGGCTGGAGTGCAGTGGCACCATCTCTGCTCACTGCAATCTCTGCCTCCCAGGTTCAAGCAATTCTGCCTCAGCCTCCTGAGTAGCTGGGGACTACAGGTGCATGCTGCCACGCCCAGCTAATTTTTTGTATTTTAGTAGAGACTGGGTTTCACCACGTTGCCAGACTGGTCTTGAACTCCTGAGCTCAGGCAGTCCTCCCGCCTTGGCCTCCCAAAGTGCTAGGATTACAGGCGGGAGCCACCACGCCCGGCCCAGAAATGAACGTTAATATAATTCATCAACAAATTGACGGACCCCATTTAGATTTTTGGCCAGTGAAAAGGACTGTCTTTTGCTATAAAAGGACATTAGCTGTTCAGACAGTGTACCATATAGCAAAAGAAAACCATGGACCATGGATTGCATTACATTGCTTTGTCTCTTTAGTGTCCCTTAATCTGGAACAGTGCTTTAGTCTTTATCTTTTATAATATTAACACAATTTATAATATGGGGTTTTTTTTGTTTTTTTGTTTGTTTTGAGACAGAGTCTTGCTCTGTCGCCCAGGCTGGAGTGCGGTTGTGCAATCTCGGCTCACTGTAACGTCTGCCTCCTGGGTTCATGCCATTCTCCTGCCTCAGCCTCCCGAGTAGCTGGGACTACAGGCGCCCGCCACCACCCCCGGCTAATGTTTTGTATTTTTAGTAGAGACCATGTTAGACAGGATGGTCTTGATCTCCTGACGTCGTGATCCAACCGCCTCAGCCTCCCGAAGTGCTGGGATTACAGGCGTGAGCCACCACGCTCATCCTATAATATGGGTTTTTAAAGTTTTTATTTAGTTATTTATTTTTTTGAATTGGAATCTCATTCTGTTGCTTAGGCTGGAGTGCAGTGGTGTGATCTCAGCTTACTGCAACCTCCACCTCCCGGCTTCAGGCGATTCTCGTGCCTCAGCCTCCTGAGTAGCTGGGACTACAGGCACGTGCCACCTTTCCCAGCTGATTTTTGTTTTGTTTTTTGAGACGGAGTCTTGCTCTGTCACCCAGGCTGGAGTGCAATGGTACAATCTCGGCTCTCTGCAACCTCTGCCTCCTGGGTTCAAGCAATTCTCCTGCCTCAGCCTCCCGAGTAGCTAGGATTACAGCTACCATGCCCGGCTAATTTTAGTAGAGACAGGGTTTCACCATGTTTGGCCAGGCTGGTCTCGAATTCCTGACCTCAGGTGATCCGACTGCCTCGGCCTCCCAATGATTTTTGTATTTTTAATAGAGGTGAGGTTTTGCTGTGTTGGCCAGGCTAGTCTCTAGAACTCGTGACCTCAGATGATCCACCTGCTTCAGCCTCCCAAAGTGCTGAGATTACAGGTGTACTGTCTTTTGCTATAAAAGGACATTAGCTGTTCAGACAGTGTACCATATAGCAAAAGAAAACCATGGACCATGGATTGCATTACATTGCTTTGTCTCTTTAGTGTCCCTTAATCTGGAACAGTGCTTTAGTCTTTATCTTTTATAATATTAACACAATTTATAATATGGGGTTTTTTTTGTTTTTTTGTTTTTTGAGACGGAGTCTTGCTCTGTCACCCAGGCTGGAGTGCAATGGTACAATCTCGGCTCTCTGCAACCTCTGCCTCCTGGGTTCAAGCAATTTTCCTGCCTCAGCCTCCTTAGTAGCTGTTACTACAGGCGCATGCCTCCATGCCCAGCTAATTTTTGTATTTTTAGTAGAGACGGGGTTTTGCCACGTTGGCCAGGATGATCTCAATCTCCTGACCTCGTGATCCACCCACCTTGACCTCCCGAAATGCTGGGATTACAGGTGTGAGCCACCATGCCCAGCAATTTTGGAAGAGACTATATTTTAGTCTTTCAAAAACGGATTATGCCTCATTTGACACTTGGTCTTGTTATTTATAATCAGGGCAGGAAACAGTCCTTTTGAAATCTATGGTATTAGTTTTGGTAATAATTTACTACCAGTTAAGGGGTAGACTGCCCTATGGGAAAATGCCAACACCCTTATCCACAAGTAATTTTCCTAAACATAGGCTGTTGTCTCTTGTGTAATAAGTGATTTGGAAAGTTTTCATTTGTTTAGATGTTAATATAATGAACTGTTCAGAAAGTAATACTATTTTTGATTACTGATCTTCATTGTAAAAATAAAAGCTTTTTATGATTTAAAAAATGGTGCTGAGTTATCTAAAAATTCCAAGAAACAGCTTAAGAAAACATTTTCTGACTTAAATGGTACAGAAATTTCCTGAAAGAGTATGGAAACCTCATATTGCTATTTAAAGGAACCTATCAATTAGTGTTATTTTTTATTTGTAAGTGACAACATAAGATCCAATGTGCTGCCATCTTTGAGAACTTATCTGAAAGAGATGTCATTTCTGACAGCCCCTGCGAGGAATTGGCATCCTTAAGCAAGCCATAGACAAGATGCAGATGAATACAAACCAGCTGACCTCAATACATGCTGATCTCTGCCAGGTAAGCAGCCAAAGTGTGTGATTCACACCAACTCAGAGGTGTAGGTTGTTGATGGGCTTGCTCAACATTGGGTTTGATAAACGAAGGCAAGTTGGCGGATATTGTGATGTGTTATAGAAGTCAGAATATGTAGGTACATCTGTTACATTCAGGTGGGTGCTGGATGCAAACTCTAGGATAGGGCTCAACTGGTAAGCTTGTTGAACAGATAGGGTAATTAATTCTTGTAACTTTTTTTTTTAGACAGATTCTTGCTTTGTCATCCAGGCTGGAGTGCAGTGGAACGATCTCAGCTCACTGCAACCTCTACCTCCCGGGTTCTAGCAATTCTGCCTCAGCCTCTTGAGTAGCTGGGACTACAGGCACCCACCACCACACCTGGCTAATTTTTGTATTTTTAGTAGAACAGGGAGGGTTTCACCACGTTGGCCAGGCTGGCCTTGAACTCCTTCCTGACCTTGCGATCCACCCGCCTCAGCCTCCCAGAGTGCTGGGATTACAGGTGTGAGCCACCAAGCCCCGTCCTAGTTGTAACTTTTTTTAAAATCCTGAATCATTCTTTTAAAATTGTGAACCTGCTGGGTGTGGTGGCTCACACCTGTGATCCCAACACTGGGAGGCTGAGGCTGATGGATCACCTGAGGTCTGGAGTTCTAGACCAGCCTGACCAACATGGAGAAACCCCGTCTTTACTAAAAATACAAAATTAACTGGGCGTGGTGGCACATGCCTGTAATCTCAGCTACTTGGGAGGCTGAGGCAGGAGAATTGCGTGAACCCAGGAGGCAGAGGTTGTGGTGAGCCGAGATTGCACCATTGTATTCCAACCTGGGCCGTAAGAATCAAACTCTGTCTCAAGAAAAAAAAAATTGTGGAACCTGAGACTGAACATATCTAACTTCTTACACCTTAAAATGTTACTCATTTTTCTTTTTTTTTTTTTTTTTTTGAGATAGAGTCTTGCTCTGTTGCCCAGGCTGGAGCCCAGTGGCACGATCTAGGCTCACTGTAACCTCCGCCTCCCAGGTTCAAGCAATTCTCCTGCCTCAGCCTCCTAAGTAGCTGGGATTATGGACGTGTACCACTACACCTGGCTAATTTTTGTATTTTTGGTAGAGATGGGGTTTTACCATGTTGGCCAGGCTGGTCTTGAACTCCGGACCTCAAGTGATCCGCCTGCCTCAGCCTCCCAAAGTGCTGGGATTACAGGCGTGAACCACCATGCCTGGCCTCATTTATTTATTGTATTTTGTGAGGAGGGCAGGTATATAATGAAGTCTCCTTTCCATTCTGTTTGCTAGCCATCTATTTCTTCTCTACAAAGGAAACTATGTTAGTAATTTCTTGTGTATCCTTCGAAAGGCTTTTTATGGACATAAAAGCAAATATGAATATATATTTTCTCATTTTTTACACAAATTTTAATCTATGCAGACTCTTCTGTGGCTTGCTTTTTGTATTTAACGTATCTTGGAGATGATTCCGTAGTGGTACTCTACAGGTACGGAGTAGTCTATAATATGAGTATGCCATGGTTTCACAAGTCTGCATGGGGTATTTACATTGTTTCCTTCAAGAATAACATGGTGTGTGGATTATTTCAAACACATGTTCTAGTTTCATATGAAGATGTGTCTTTTTTTAATGTTTTAAAAAAATTGTGATTGAGGTACAACATACAGACAGTAAAATACTAAAGTGTATAGCTCAGTGAGTTCGTATGCATGTTTACACTGCATCTCCATTAGCTAGATAACTGTTCTAAGGGCTTGCTTTGCTGAGTTGCACAATTCCCTACATTTACCTAAAGGATTAAAACACTGGAAAGGATTAATTAGAGGAAGCACTTCTACTTTTATCACACCATGCTGGTCTCTTTCCGTTCCACTAGCTCAGTAAAGAGAAAGAGGACACACTCTTTTGCCCTCTAATCAGATGGGTAGGGATAGGTTAAGGGATAACTGAATCTTGTCTGTAGAATTCTCTATTCTCAATCGTCTATAGCATGCTTGGCCTTATAGCTGTTTAGCTTTTTATAAAGAAATGCTCCACCAGGTGAGGTGGCTGACGCCTGTAATCCTAGCACATTCGGAGGCAAAGGTGGATGGATCACTTGAGGTCAGGAGTTTGAGACCAGCCTGGCCAATGTGGTGAAACCCCGTCTCTACTAAAAATACAAAAATTAGCTGGGTGTGGTGCACGCCTGTAATCCCAGCTACTCAGGAGGCTGAGGCAGGAGAATCGCTTGAACCCAGGAGGCAGAGGTTGCAGTGAGCCGAGATGTGCCACTGCACTCCAGCCTGTGTGACAGAGTGCGACTCCGTCTCATTAAAAAAAAAAAAAAAAAAGTAATGCTATTTTATTCTGAATGGCTAAGAAAATGGAGTACAGGTTGATTAGTCCTAATCCGAAAATTTGAAACCCAAAATGCTTCAAAATCTGAAATCTTTAGAGTGCCAACTTGGCACTCAAAGTGCTCATTGGAGCAATTGCATTTCAGGTTTTCAGATTAGGGATGCTTAACTGGTATGTATTCTGCAAATATTCCAAAATTTGAAACACTTCTGGTCCTAAGCATTTCAGATAGCAGATACATGAAATGTGTTGACATTTAGATCATTTTAGTCAATAAAATGTAAAACACAATTACATTATTTGGAAATTTCTGGAATCTATGAATTTTCTTCTTCTGCTAATACCTGCCTAAGTAAAATTAAAGTGATGATTTAATATCAATTTGTTCACAGCTTTGTTTGCTAGCAAAATGCTTTAAGCCTGCCCTTCCATATCTTGACGTGGATATGATGGATATCTGTAAAGAGAATGGAGCCTATGATGCAAAGCACTTTTTATGTTACTATTATTATGGAGGAATGATCTATACTGGGCTGAAGAACTTTGAAAGAGCTCTCTACTTTTATGAACAGGTAATCATTTCTCTAAAGATTAGCTGAGGTTGTTCTGAACTCATGTGATCAAAAAAGTGATCCCATAGGTTTGTGGCTAGAGTGGACTGATCCCGGGGCCTCCATTTCAGGTGGTGGTCCTTTCAGAGACTGCTTCTCTGTCATCAGTAAATGGTGGTAACCTGATCCCTAAGTTGAGGAGCAGTGCCAGTGCATAGAAGAGCACTTGTGGGTGGGTTCTAATCTAGGCTTGCACTTATATCTTATCTGATTTGGGATAAGTTATGACATCTCTTGACCTTTATAGCTTCCTTTGCATATAAGGAAGAGATTGAACTGAATGACCTTGAATGTGTCTTATTCTAAAACCATGTGTGGTATTTTGTTAAGTTTTATTTACTCAGTGAAACATTCTCTTGATTCAAAATTTAAAGGGTATAGAGGAGTACACAGTAATAGTCCCTCCCACCCTTTCTGTGTCTGTGTAATGAAACATAGTACACAATTTGGTAGACTATTCTGGAGCTTTACTCAGACTTTGAAAAAGAGATACACAATATTGATTAATAAACCCGTTGTCTTAAGGTAAATTAGCTAGATGTTCATACTTTCCTTTTTAGTTCATAGCATGTATTAATAAAGGATATTTAAAACCTTCAGGGAGCTCAGTTTAGTTGGAATTCTAATACATAATACACACACACACGTACACACATCCGTGGCTCTGAACCATACCATAATGAGTGGTTGATGTGCCCTGTTGAGGGGACCTGAGAAGGGCCACCATAAGGTGCCAGTAGGCGGAAATGGTGTCATTAAAGCATGTGTCTAGTCAGGTCAAATCTTCAAGATGACTTCTCTTTAAGACTACACATTCAGAAAATTATAAAAATGTACTTCATAGCCACTGGATGCATTATCATTGCTGTAGCCAAATATAGTAATTCATGAGCAAACTGGTCTTGAAATATCAAGATGATGTGTGTGTTAAAAAGGTAAGAAGGGGAGGGTGCGGTGGCTCATGCCTGTAATCCCCCGCCACTTTTGGGAGCAGGCGGGCCGATCCTGAGTTGGGAGTGAGCCTAGCTGGATCAACGTGAAACCATCCTTCTACACTAAAAAATACAAAATTAGCCGGGATGATGGGCTGCTGTAATCCTAGCTACTCAGGAGGCCTGAGGCAGGAGAATTACCGTTGAACCAGCAGGCGGCGGTTGCAGTGAGCCCCGAGATCACACACCTTGCCTCCAGCTGGGCCACAAGAGCAAAACTCCGTCTCACAAGAAAAAAAAAAAAAAAAGCGCAGGAGCTGGCATGGGGCTCACCTGTAATCCCAGTACATTGGGAGCGCCCCGGAGGCACGGCAATCTCCCTGAGGTCAGAATTCAAGATAACTTCACTGCAACCCATGGGGAAAATGTCTACTAAAAAATGCAAATCTAAGCTGGGGTGTGGCAGCAGGCACCTCGTTAACCCGCTACTCGGCGATGCTTGAGCGCAGGATAATCTCTTGGACCAGGAGCGGAGCCACCACCACTGCACTCCAGCTGGGTGCGACAGAGCGCCTCCCCCTCAAAAATAAAAGACCAGAAAGTGCCAGGCTCGCGCTGCGCTCCTGCCCGTCAACTCCCAGCACTTTCGGGATGCCTCGAAGTGGAGGACTGCTTGAACTCAGGAGTCCCAATAGTGACTATCTCTTCCACATTTTTTTTCTTCTTGAGCGGGGTCTCACATGCTCACCCGGCTGCTGTACACGCGCGCGATCTCGGCTCACTGCAAGCTCCACTCTGATGCCCTGCGTAGCTACTCTAGCTCTTTTTTATATTTTTAGTAGAGATGGGGTTTCTCACCTGTTAAACAGGATTGGTCTCGATCTCCTGACCCGATCTGCCTGCCCGCTCCACTGCTACGCAAAAATTCCTTATTTATTTTATTTTTTTTTATTTATTTATTTTGTTGGCGAGCTCGCTCTGTCACCCCAGCTTGGAGTGCAGTGCCCGACCTCTCAGCTACCTGCAAGCTCGCCTCCTGGGTTTACGCCATTCTCCTGCCTCACCTCCGAGTAAGCTCGACTAACAGGTGCCCGCACCTCGCCTTGGCTAGTTTTTTGTATTTTATTAGTAGAGACGGGTTTCCACCATGTTAGCCAGGATGATCTTGATCTCCTGCCTGCAGTGGGATCGCCCATCTCGGCCTCCCAAGAGTTGCTGGATTACGCTGCCTGAGCACGCGCCCGGCCCAAAAATTTAAAAATTACGTCAAGCCATGGTGGCCCATGCCTGTAGTCCCAGGTACTCAGGAAGCTGAAGCAGGAAGATCGCTTGAACCCAAGGAGTTTGAGGGTGCAGTGAGCCATAATTATATCACTGCGCTCCAACCTAGATGACAGAGCGAGACCCTGTCTCTAAAAAATAAATAAATAAAAATAAAATAAAATGAATTATATCTCAAGGCTGTTATAAAAATAATGGGACGTTTAAAAAGTATTACTGATTTATAATTAATGTGATACATGTGGTTGATTGCTGTTTGCTACTGTGGTATGTTCTCTTTACAGTAAGCATTTTTCTTTTGCCTAGGCTATAACTACTCCTGCCATGGCGGTCAGTCATATCATGTTAGAATCATATAAAAAGTATATTTTAGTGTCTTTGATATTACTTGGCAAAGTACAACAGCTACCAAAATACACATCTCAAATTGTGGGTAGATTCATTAAGGTAAGTTTTTTTTTTTTTTTTACATAAAACTGATTTCTTACGTGAGCATGTTGAGTATATCAAGAAATTGCAATGATACAGTTCTGTAACTTGGTTTTATAGTGATTTAGTTCTCCTAACAGCTTCAGATTAGCAGACATTCTCATTACCTGATTGGGATGGAATATTTCTCAGGAACCCGTTTTCAAACTTGTGCTCTAGGTACTTACAGCTATAGATGTTTAAGCTCCTGTAACAGTTGATTTTTTTTCCCCCAGAGACAGAGTCTTGCTATGTTGGCCAGGTTGGTCTTGAACTCCTGGCCTCAAGCAGTCCTTCTGCCTCTGCCTCCCAGAGTGCTGGGATTTCAGGTGTGTGCCACTGAGCCTGGCCTTTATTTTGTTTTCTTTCTTTTTTTTTTTTTTGAGATGGGGTCTCGCTCTGTCACCCAGGCTGGAGTGCAGTGGTGTGATCTCGGCTCACTGCAACCTCTGCCTTCCGGATTCAAGTGATTCTCCTGCCTCAGCCTCCTGAGTAGCTGGAACTACAGGCGTGTGCCACCATGCCCAGCTAATTTTTTGTATTTTTAGTGGAGACAGGGTTTCACCGTGTTAGCCAGGATGGCCTTGATCTCCTGACCTCGTGATCCACCCGCCTCAGCCTCCCAAAGTGCTGGGATTACAGGCATGAGCCATGGCACCTGGCCCCGTCTTCTTTCTTGCTAGCAGAAGTAACAGATTGTCCCATTGCATCTGGTGAGGTGTGAGAAAGAGAGAGGGAGAGTTGGGAATGATGAATGTTTTGACTCCTTCCTTCTCTATATTATTTATCAGTAGAAAAACAGAACCACTGATAAAGATGTGTGCCTTCACTAAATTCAGTGGGTTTTCACCTACTGTGTTACTACTTGATCTGTACTACAAAATTTTGTTGAAAATAAATTACTCCACTTGGTCTTAAAAACCAGGCATTTGCTTTGGGTAAATTATAATTTGTAGGGTAACAGTGTGTTGTTACCTGACAACATGGGATATACTTGTTTAAAAAATAATATGTAAGTGTGTTTTTGCTTCCTATACACATTTGAGTCTTCGGAAATTTTTTTCTTTTATTTTTTTTTTTGAGGCAGAGTTTTGCTTTTGTCTCTCAGGCTGGAGTGCAGTGGCATGATCTCGGCTCACTACAACCTCCACCTCCCGTATTCAATCGATTCTCCTGCCTCAGCCTCCCAAGTAGCTGGGATTATAAGCATGTGCTACCATGCCTGGCTAATTTTGTACTTTTAGTAGAGACGGGGTTTCTTCAGGTTGGTCAGGCTGGTCTTGAACTCCTGAACCTCAGGTGATCCGCCTGCCTCGGCCTCCCAAAGTGTTGAGACTACAGGTGTGAGCCACCACGCCTGGCCTCTTCTGAAGTTCTAATCTGATTTTTTCCCTCCTTTGCATCTTTAGCCTCTTAGCAATGCATACCACGAGTTAGCACAAGTGTATTCAACCAACAACCCCTCAGAACTCCGAAACCTGGTGAATAAGCACAGTGAAACTTTCACTCGTGATAACAACATGGGACTGGTGAAGCAATGCTTGTCATCTCTTTATAAGAAGAATATTCAGAGGCTAACAAAGGTGAGGAAAGCGCCACCTTCACAGGGCAGCTCCTGACACCCTGGGGGCCATGTTTCCCTTTCCGTTTTCAGAGCTAAGGAAGCAGGTACAGGGATAAAGCATGGCAGGATTTCTGTGCTGAGAGAGAACGCTCTTGTAATTGCCTTCTTAGAAAGAATTTGATTTATACCTTTGGTCTTTTCAGGGCTAGAGCAGGGTATTTGGAGCAGGTGAAGAGGAAGAAAGGTAGGAGACACGGCTACATTGGGAGACAGTGAAAGGCAGCCTCAGAGAGGTCAGCAGCTCCAGCAGGGCAGATGAGGGATGCTAGTGATGCAGACCTCAATGCATTGTGACCAGCCTTGCAACCTCTCTGGCTGTGCTGATCTCTATAAGAAATCTTTTTTTTTTTTTATCCCCCTTGACACAGTGCCTTGCTCTGTTGCCCAGGCTGGAGTGCAGTGGCGTGATCTTGGCTCATTGCAACCTCTGCCTCCTGAGCTCAAGTGATCTGCCCGCCTCAGCCTCCCAAGCAGCTGGGACCACAGGTGTGAGCCACCACGTCCAGCTAATATTTTGTATTTTTTGTAGAGACAAGGTTTCACTATGTTGGCCAGGCTTGTCTTTTTTTTTTTTTTTTTTTGAGACGGAGTCTCGCTCTGTCGCCCAGGCTGGAGTGCAGTGGCGCAATCTCGGCTCACTGCAAGCTCCGCCTCCCGGGTTCACGCCATTCTCCGGCCTCAGCCTCCCGAGTAGCTGGGACTACAGGCGCCCGCCACTGCGCCCGGCTAATTTTTTCTATTTTTAGTGGAGACAGGGTTTCACCATGGTCTCGATCTCCTGACCTTGTGATCCGCCCGCCTCGGCCTTCCAAAGTGCTGGGATTACAGGCGTGAGCCACCGCGCCCGGCCGCCAGGCTTGTCTTGAGCTCCTGTCCTCATGTGATCCACCTGCCTCGGCCTCCGAAAGTGCTGGGATTACAGACATGAACCACTGCGCCTGGCCAATGAGAACATCTTATGTGAACATAGTACTACTTGGACATTACCATTTAGGCCAGGGTTGTACAAACTTTGTGCAATTGACTTCTAGGATGTAAGCCAATTATATAATTTTTATTTTCAAGATGAAAATAACATGCTGGGTTTTGACTATAGAAAATGTGCTTAATATCAAATGTTCAAACAGTACAGAAAAATAATGAAAAATGAAATATTTTGTGTTTTAGGAAGGTATAGGCTGCAAGTTACAGGAATCCTATAGCTCAGCAAATAGAGGATTGCTTTTTTCTCTTGGGAAGTCTGACCAGAGATGCACAGTTCATAGCTGCTGAGAACACAGCACATCTGTTCCTATGCACGTCCTTTGCCTTGTGTCAGCCATGGTGATGGATGGTTGGGGAAAAGCCAAGGAACCAGAATAGGGGCTGTTTGTTGCTAGGCTACCCAGCAATGGAAAAGGCTGATGGATTTGGCTATGTGAGGACTTAGGGGAGAGGTGACTTCCCCTAGCCCAGTGGCTGTTGAGGTGGGCAGACCTTATACAAGGATAAAGGATCCTAAGGAGAAGAGGAAGGAAGGTGAGGAGAGGGTCAATGGCCAAGAAATAGAATCCTTCCAAATGCTCTAGAAAGACTAGCCATAGCTTCCTAACAGAAGGAAATCAGTAGTGAATTTGTAAAAAGTTAATTTATGAGAGAAAAATGAAGAACATGAAAGAGAATCAACTCAAAGATCAAAACCAGTGTAATTTGTGAGCCAGAAAAACCAACTTGACCTACAGGTTTAAAAGACCAGGATCTAAGAGACTTAAATAACAAGCAGCCTAATTCTCTCTGTGAAATTTTCTTTTTGGCCCAAGTGCCAACAGAACCATTCTAAGTACATTTCTGTCTTTCCTTACCAAGAGGTAGCCATTAAAAAACAGCTGCACTCTGTTTGTGACTAGTAATTGAGGTTTAGATAAAATAACCCAAATGCTAACAAACATAAAAGATAGTACATGTTACAAAAGATGTTAAATTGCAAAATAGCAAATGAAAATTAAATAACAGTTTCAAAAGTGTGGTGGCACGTACCTGTAATCCCAGCTGCTCGGAAGACTGAGGCAGGAGTATCATTTGAATTTAGGAGATAGAGGTTGCAGTGAGCCAAGATTGCACCACTGCACTCCAGTCCGGGCAATAGAGTGAGACTCCATCTCAAAAAAAAAAAAAAAAAAATTTTTTTTTTGATCAAACAGGAAGAGTCTCAACTTGAAATGGTCTTTCCAGGGCTGGGGCAGTGACTTACAGAGTCATCAAGGTCCTGGGTCCTTTGTGTGTTGACACGAAGTGGTGTATTGTGGTACACTGAGCTTACAAGCACTGCCTGCTGAAGGGACCTGGGAAGGGCTACCATAAGGTATGGTGGGCAGGAACCGTGTCTTTAAAGTACATAGCTAGTCAGAAGGTTATATCTGTGATAGTGGCTGCTCCGTTTTTGGCATGATGTCCCAGTGCTAGAATGAAAAGAAGGGGGAAACATCAAAGGATTTTTCTAGCCAAGTTTTCTTACTAGAAAATCCAAAGAAGCCTCAACAGGTAGACTGTATCAGTAGGTGATTGCATGGCTGGGATGGAAGGCACTAGGGATGGGTTAAATCTGCCACTTCCGACATTGAAATATTACTTTGTGTTAACATTTTAGTAGATGTTTTTCTAGGTTCCTCTTCTGTTTCTTTTCTATGTGTATGCATAGAGTCTCCCAATTATATGTAACTGGGGTCATACTCTATGTTCTATTCTTGACCCTGCTTTTTTTTTTTTTTTCTGAGACCGAGTCTCGCTGTATTGCCCAGGCTGGAGTGCAGTGGTGCGTTCTTGGCTCACCACAGCCTCCACCTCCTGGGTTCAAGCGATTCTCCTGCCTCAGCCTCCCGAGTAGCTGGGACTACAGGTGCACACCACCACACCTGGCTAATTTTTGTATTTTTAGTAGAGACGGGGTTTCACCATGTTGGCCGGCATGGTCTGGAACTCCTGACTTTAAGTGATCTGCCCACTTCGGCCTCCCAAAGTGCTAAGATTACAGGCATGATGAGCCACTGCGTCTGGCCTACTTTTAAATTTTTTGTAGAGATGGGATCCCACTGTGTTGGCCAGGCTAAAATGTTGACTTTTGAGTCTTCATTTGCATTAAACTACTTGTATACTTATTAAAGTTAGCAATAATTACAGTTTCTTGGATACTGTTCTCTGAACTAAAGTTCAGAACAGTAGGTTTTAAAATTATTGGCTCATCAAGAATCTATGGCCAGGCACAATGGCTTACCCCTGTACTTCCAGCACTTTGGGGAGCTGAGGCAGGAGGATAGCTTGAAACCAGGAGCTCGAAACCAGTCTGAGCAACTAAGTAAGATCCCGTCTCTACAAAAAATAAAAAAATAAAATAAGCTGGGCACAGTGGTGCACACCTGTAGTCTCAGCTACTCAGGAGGCTGAAACGGGAGGTTCCCGTGAGCTGCTGTGAACTACGATTGCACCTCTGCACTCTAGCCTGGGCAACAGAGCAAGACTCCATCTCTTAAAAAAAAAAAAAAAAGGAATTTTCAAGATGAGGGTTTTAATATGCCCATCTCTGAAAATGCCATTGTTGTAAATATTGCCAGCTGCCATTAAGAATAGAGCTCTTTTAATGTGTTTCTGAAAGGGGTCATTTTCATGAGATCCTGAGAGAGCAGTGGTAAACACTGGTTTCCCTCACGTACCACAAGTGTGTAGCCTCTTTTATTTAATTCCCCCATTTGTTTAAAAATGTTTACTTTGAATTTTGAATGATGAGTGTTATTTTTTCAATTACATTTAATAGATGATACGTTTAATACAAAATTCAAAAGATGAAAATCTTCATAATGATGTACATACCTAGGATTCCTTTCCAGTTTACATATATATATAAAATTAATCCTTTGTCATTACTTCTCTAGGAAATTGATGACAGACCACTGGATTTATCAGTTTTTATTCTTATTTATTTTTTTTTGAGATGGAGTCTCACTCTGTCGCCCAGGCTGGAATGCAGTGGCGTGATCTCAGCTCACTGCAACCTCCACCTCCCAAGTTTAAGCGATTCTCCTGCCTCAGCCTCCTGAGTAGCTAGGATTACAGGTGCCTGCCACCACGCCCAGCTAATTTTTGCATTTTTAGTAGAGGTGGAGTCTCACTATGTTGGCCAGGCTGGTCTTGAACTCTTGATGTCAAGTGATCCACCCACCTTGGCCTCCCAAAGTGCTGGGATTACAGGCGTGAGCCACCATGCCCGGCCCATCGGTTTTAAGTCATCTCCACAAATTTATTCTGTACATCAATGGGAAGAGCTCTGTACACTTTTTTTTTTTTTTTTTGAGATAGAGTCTTGCTCTGTCGTCCAGGCTGGAGAGCAGTGGTGCAGTCTCGGCTCACTGCAACCTCCGTCTCCTGGGTTCAAGCAATTCTCTGATTCTCTTGCCTCAGCCCCCCGAGTAGCTGGGACTAGAGGCATGTGCCACCATACCGGCTAATTTTTTGTATCTTTAGTAGAGATGGGGTTTCACCTTGTTAGCCACGATGGTCATGATCTGCCCAGCTTGGCCTCCCAAAGTGCTTGGATTACAGATGTGAGCCACCACGCCTGGCCCCTCTTTTTTGTATTTTTAGTAGAGACGGGGTTTCACTATATTAGCCAGCATTGTCTCGATCTTCTGACCTCATGATCTACCTGCCTTGGCCTCCCAAAATGCTGGGATTACAGGCGTGAGCCACCGCGCCTGGCCGCTCTGTACACATTTTAATAAAATGTCTTTCCTTCGTTGTTCCTACCTGTGACTAATTCTGCTTCTGACTTTCAGACCTTTTTAACTCTGTCATTACAAGATATGGCAAGTCGCGTGCAGTTATCTGGACCTCAGGAGGCAGAAAAATATGTTCTGCACATGGTAAGTGTATTTTCTTTTTCCTTTCTTTTTTTTTTTTTTTGAGATGGAGTCTCGCTCTGTCGCCAGGCTGGAGTGTAGTTGTGCAGTCTCGGCTCACTGCAACCTCCACGTCCCGAATTCAAGTGATTCTCTTGCCTCAGCCTCCCGAGAGCTGGGACTACAGGCATGCACCACCACGCCCAGCTAATTTTTTGTATTTTTAGTAGAGACGGGGTTTCACCATGTTGGTCAGGCTGGTCTCGAACTCCTGACCTCATGATCTGCCTGCCTCGGCCTCCCAAAGTGCGGGGATTATAGGCATGAGCCACTGTGCCTGGCCTGGATTTTCATTTCTTTAAAAATTAATTATTGGATTTTTGTTCCTGTAACAGATGTTCATTGTGGAAACTATTTTAAAAGGAGAAAAGCTGGGGAACCTCCAAAGTCAACCACTATTGACAATTTGGTTTATTTCCTTATAGTCTATATGGTTTCTAGTTTTGGTGTGCTCATATGATACACATACCAGGCTTGTGTCCTATTTGTGCTTTTTTTTTTGAGATGGCTTCATTTTGTTTCCCAGGCTTGAGTGCAGTGGCACAATCTTGGCTCACTGCAGCCTCAATTCCCTGGGTTTAAGTAATCCGCCCATCTCAGCCTCCCAAGTAGCTGGGACTACAGGCATGTGCCACCATGCCTGACTAATTTTTGTATTTTTTTTTTTTTGAAGAAATGGGGTTTCTCCATGTTGCCCAGGCTGGGCCTGAACTCCTAGGCTCAGTCTGCCCTCCTGGGCCTCCCAAATTGTTGGATTACATGAGTCACTGCACTCAGCCCTGTACTCCTTATTATTTTCTATTTTATTTTATTTTGAGACAGACTCTCACTCTGTTGCCCAGGCTGGAGTGCAGTGGTGTGGTCTCAGCTCACTGCAACCCCTGCCTCCAGGGTTCAAGCAGTTCCCCTGTCTCAGCCTCCCGAGTAGCTGGTATTACAGGTGCCTATATTTACATATTTTCATTATCAGAATTTTTGTAAACCTTATAACACTCATGAAATATTTTGGGTATACAAAGAGGTATAACGTAGGGCTACTTTCTCTGCTTATCTGTGATGAGATCACAAGCTTTTGCCAGTATGTACATCAGCCAACTGCTGCAGCAAGAAATCTTGCTGAACAGTGTTTGCTGCACTACAGTGTGCTTAGTGACATCATTGACTAACATTCTGACTCAGCCTCTTCCCTCACTAAGGGTTTTGGTCCATGATGATTATTACACTGAACAGCACTGACATAAAGGAGGCCAGAGCACACACCCATGGACTTACCACCCAGCTTAGGAAATGAAATAGCACCAGCACCCTGACATTCCCTCTTTATCACCTCCCAGTTGCATTTCCCCACTCTTAGCCCCACCCCAACCAGGCATCCACTCCTGATTTGGATAAGCATCATTTAAATGACTGTATGATAACCCACCACAGTGATGTATGGTAATCTACCTACCTATTCAGTTATATAAGTATATAGTTCTGATCTGGTTTTAGTTCACTGAAAACCTGTGTCCTCAGCTCAGGACAGGCAAAGCTTCATATGACCCCCTGTATGATTTCAGAATTAGGAGTAATAAAACTAGTTTCTCTTGTGATAACAGAATACCGTATTTTGATTGATTGATTTATTGAGACAAGGTCTTGCTGTGTTGCCCAGGCTGGAGTGCAGTGGCGTAATCATGGCTCACTGCAGCCTTGACTGCCTAGGCTTAAATGATCTTCTCACCTCAGCCTCCCAAGTAGCTGGGACTACAGATGTGTGCCACCACACCCAGCTGATTTTTAAATTGTTTATAGAGACAGGGTCTTACTATGTTGGCCAGGCATAACTTGAGACTTCTGGCCTCAAGTGACCTTCCCACCTTGGCCCCCCAAAGTGCTGGGATTACAGCTGGATTCAGCCACTGCACCCAGCTGAGTATTTCATTTTGATAGTTCAATTTACAAGTGTTCTAAAGGGTTTTTTGCTTCAACCTACCACTCAAAACATGTACACACCAAACAAAATCATACCTCTATGACTTGTGTCTGCTAAGAGCATCTTAGTAACCCCACAGGACTTGCACAGAATAAGTAAGCTACAGATTCTTTCCCCAAGAAATTCCCTCTTCAGTGTGAGTGAGAAGAAACACATGAGTGGTTATGACACCAGACAGGACATACAAGCTAGCAATGCATTGAGGGGTCAAAGTGGTTGTGAGTTTTGAACCCTGCTTAACCAGCCCAGACACCCTGACAGGCTCTGGAGCAGTGGTTCTCCTCTGAGGGTGATTTTGTCTGCCAGGAGACATTAGGCAACATCTGGAAGCAGTTTTGGTTTTCATAGATGGGGGTGCTACTGGCATCGAATGGATACAGGCCAGGGATGCTGCTAAACATTCTACAGTACCCAGGACAGCCCACACACCAAAGCATTATATGCTCCCAAATGTCAGAACTGCCAGGCTTTAGAAACCCTTCTCCTGGAATGAAAGGTCTGTGAGGGCAGGGTTTTTTTTTTTCTTTTTTTTAAAGTAAACATTGGAAAAGTACACTTAACTGTACAACTAAACACATTTTCACAAAGATTCCAACACCTAGAAGGAACAGAATATGACCAGCACCTGGAAAATAATCCCTCATGCCTGCTTCCAGCTCTGTGCCTCTCTAGAAAGGTCGTTCCCATCCTGACTTCTAACATCCTATTTTAGTTGTGTTTGTTTCTGAGCTTAATGTAGAAGGAAACATACAGCACATACTTTCTGGGGGTCTGGTTTTTTTGGCTCAGCATTGTGAGAGTCATGTGTGATGCTGTATGTAGCCGTAGTTCATTCATTTTCAAGGCTACAATGTTCCAGTGTTTGATACGCCTTTCCATTTTAATTAGTTGGACAGGGTGGGCGTGGTGCCTGTAATCCCAGCACTTTGGGAGGCTGAGGCAGGCGGATCACCTGAGGTCAGGAGTTCAAGATCAGCCTGGCCAACATGGTGAAACCCTGTCTCTACTGAAAATACAAAAAAAAATTAGCTGGGCGTGGTGGTGGGTGCCTGTAACCCCAGCTACTTGGGAGGCTGAGGCTGGAGAATTGCTCGAACCCAGGAGGCGGAGGTTGCAGTGACTGGAGATCATGCCATTGCACTCCAGCCTGGGTGACAAGAGCAAAACTCTGTCTCAAAAAAAATAAATAGGCCGGGTGAGATGGTTCACACCTATAATTCCAGCACTTTGGGACGCTGAGGCGGGCAGATCACGAGGTCAGGAGATCAAGACCATCCTGGCTAACACAGTGAAACCTCATCTCTACTAAAAGTACAATTAGCTGGGCGTGGTGGCAGGTGCCCATAGTCCCAGCTACTGGGAGGCTGAGGCAGGAGAATGGCGTGTGCCATTCTCCAACCTTGGAGGCGGAGCTTGCATTGAGCCAAGATCGTGCCACTGCACTCCAGCCTGGGCGACAGAGCGAGACTCGTTCCCAAAAAATAAATAAATAAATAGTTGGACATTGGGGTTGTTTCCAATTCTGGTTTCTTTATTATGAATAGTGCTGCTGTGGTGAAGGTAACTCCAAATTTTGCTTAGGTACATTCCATCTGCTTAAAGCAGCAGCTCTCTGTGATCATATAGAGAACTATGCATTTTATATAATATGTATTGGGCTGGTTGCTGTTTCACTAACTGGCATCTATCCCTTCCAAAGCTAGAGAGGAGTAGGCCAGCAGTTTCACTGCTAACAAATGGACAAGTGATTATCACCGTGTGGAACATCTTGTTAGAAATTAAATACCTGTTTGGCACTTTTATTGGTATCTCACTTTTTGACTTCATGGGCAAGATTTGGCTTTGAGGATCAGTCAAATAAATCCCCAGTAACTGATGCAAATATATGATATATAGACCTTGAATCTATCTTGGAATCCCCAGTGGTAGTGAAGTTATCTTGAAGAATCAGAGGATAGTTTCCACTGGGATAAAATGAAAACCTGTTAGGCTTTACTTTTTAAGTACAGTGGCCCAGCCTGGCCAACATGGCAAAACTTCATCTCTACTAAAAATACAAAAAATTAGCTGGGCATGGTGGCATGCACCTGTAGTCCCAGCTACTTAGGAGGCTGAGGCAGGAGAATCCCCTGAACCCAGCAGGTGGAGGTTGCAGTGAGCAGAGATCCAGCCACTGTACTCCAGCCTGGGCGACACAGCGAGACCCCATCTCAAAAACAAAAGGCAATGTAAATTATATCTCAATGCAGTTGATGTTGAAAAATGCAAGGGCACCTCAAACACATCATGCTAAGGGAAGCCAGACCACAAAAGATTACATAGTGTATGATTCCATTCATATATCCAGAAAAGGCAAATCCATAAGAGACAAGAACAGATTGGTGGTTTCCAGGGACTGGGAGGAAGAGGAGGGAATGGGGAGGAACTGCTAATGGGCCTAGGACCTCTTTCTGGGGTGATGAAAATGCTCCAGAACTAGAGATGGTGGTTGCACAACATTGTAGAATGCATTCAGTGCCAATTAATTGCTCACTTTAAAATGGTAGGCCAGGCGCGGTGGCCCATGCCTGTAATCCCAGCATTTTGGGACGCCAGGGTGGGTGGATCACTTGAGGTTAAGAGTTAAAAACCAGCCTGGCCAACATGGTGAAATCCCGTGTCTATTAAAAATAGAGGCCAAGGTGGGTGGATCACTTGAGGTTGAGTTTAAAACCAGCCTGGCCAATATGGTGAATCCCATGTCTATTAAAAATACAAAGAAATGGCCAGGCGCGGTGGCTCATGCCTGTAATCCCAGCACTTTGGGAGGCCGAGGTGGGTGGATCACCTGAGGTTGGGAGTTCAAGACCAGCCTGATCAACATGGAGAAACCCCATCTCTACTAAAAATACAAAATTAGCCGGGCGTGGTGGCGCATGCCTGTAACCCCAGCTACTCGGGAGGCTGAGGTAGGAGAATCGCTTGAACCCAGGAGGCGGAGGTTGCAGTGAGTGAAGATTACGCCATTGTACTCCAGCCTGGGCAACAAGAGTGAAACTCCATCTCAAGAAAAAACAGAAAACAAAAAAATTAGCCTGGCATGGTGACAGGCACCTATAATTCCAGTTACTTGGGAGGCTGAGGCAGGAGAATTGCTTGAACCCGGGAGGCAGAGGTTGCAGTGAGCTGAGAACGCACCACTGCACTCCAGCCTGGGGGACAGAGCGAGCCTCCATCTCAAATAAATAAATTAAATTAAATGGTTAATTATGTTGTGTGAACCTCACCTCAAAAACAAAAATGCAGGGGCAGGGATTTTGTGTGTGTGTATCAGTTTTACACCTCTTAGCATCGATAATGGTGCCTAGCAAATAGTAGGTATTTAATAAATACTTGGATAAACATGGCACTTAAAAATATACAAGTTTATTTATATCCATGTTGCCTTCTATGCTTCTCTCTGATTATACTGGATGACTATTTATATAGCATTCAGATCTAAACTGCTTTCCTGTTTTGTTTTGTTTTTTTTTTTGTAGATAGAAGATGGTGAGATTTTTGCAAGTATTAACCAGAAGGATGGTATGGTCAGTTTCCATGATAACCCTGAAAAATATAATAACCCGGCCATGCTTCATAATATTGATCAGGAGGTAAACATGAATGCCAGGTTTTTATTTTTTTAATTGATGGTCGAGATGTATTTGAAATACTGCTTCTATGTTCCAGGATAATTTTAGTTTTAAGTACAGGTAGTTCCCAGTCTATGAACATCTTAGTTACTAGAAAGTTAATTTCAAAATGGGCTGCTTAAGGACAATCGCTTGAACCCTGGAGATGGGGGTTACAGTGAGCCAAGATTGTGCCACCGCACTCCAGCTTGGGTGACAGAGCAAGACTCTGTCTCAAGAAAAGCAACAACAACAAAATAAACCCAGAATGGGCTGCTTAAAACTCTTCCAGGCTGGGTGTGGGGGCTCACGCCTATAATACTAACACTTTGGGAGGCTCAAATCCACTGACTTTGGGTGGATCACCTAGGTCAGGAGTTCAAGACCAGCCTGGCCAACATGGCAAAACCCTGTCTCTACTAAAAAAGAATAAAAAATAAAAAATTAGCTGGGTGTTGTGGTTTGTGCCTGTAATCCCAGCTACTCTGGAGGCTGAGGCAGGAAAATCTCTTGGAACCTGGGAGGCAGATGTTGCAGTAAGCTGAGATCGTGCCACTGCAGTCCAGCCTGGGCAACAGTGGGAGACTGTCTCAAAAATCAAAACTCTCCCAGATTGTATGGCTATAAATAAATGGTGGGTTAGATATCCCAGTTAGCTCATCAAAACCTCCCTTAACTCTGAAAACACTTAAAGGCCCTAGTATAACTTTATCTATTCACAGCTGCCACTTACAACATAGAGCCTTGTGTTTTTGCTGAAATGTCTGTGGAGTTCCAGGTTGGGAGATCAGGAAACATCTCTGGAGCTATGTGAGAAGCAGAGTCGGGGTGGCTGGAGGAGAAGAGCAAAGCCCTCCCTGACGGTCCCCTTCAGGCAACACTGGGCTGCAGCCTGTCTCCTGAGGGCATGCTGTCCTGATTCTGGGGGCTGAAGGGGGCGTTTTGTGGGTGGTCTCTGTTTTTTACCTCTGAGCAGTGAAGTGAACTGAATATTAAATCTCAGAAAACTTTTTTTATAACAATTTGATGGCAAAATGTCACCTGAAATGGTGTCTAGTCTTCATTGATCTCAGTGTGAATATAGTCCAGTTTCCCTGCAAAAGATACTATGTGTTTGATTATGAGGTTTGCCTAGATCCTGCTGGGTGGGATGTTGGGTATTATATGATACATGCATTAGCTTTCTGAGTCCAAAATACGCTGGCTCCAAAACCCATGTGGCCCCAGGGGTTTCATGTCAAGAGATTGTGAACCTACAGCGCCCTTGTGAACAGTCGAAGTTAGAAAGGATGCAGCTGACGTAAACCTGCCGCTGACCACCTTCTAATGTGCCTGTCATGCAGATGCTGAAATGCATAGAGCTGGATGAGCGGCTGAAAGCCATGGACCAGGAGATCACAGTGAACCCTCAGTTTGTACAAAAGGTGATGAGGGTTCCCCTTATTATAAGAAGTAGGCTGGGTGGAGAAGGAGGGGCGTTGTCACATCAGGCACAGGAATTAAGTTTCAGGTTACTAAATATTTCTTGAAACCCTTACCAGTACAGTCATGGAGAAATACTAGTTGAGAGCATTTTCAAACAATGGCCTGGAAGTACACTTAGGGATGCTTAGGGTGGTTCCTGGAATTGCCTGCCCTTGTTCACAGGGTGGCTTTGTTCTGGGAGGGACAGGGTAACTGGTGTGCTTATTGGGCTGCTGGGGAACCCTTGATAAAAGCAAACATAAATACATAACTTCACTTTCCCTTTACAGAGTATGGGCTCACAAGAAGATGATTCAGGAAACAAACCATCCAGTTATTCTTGAAACTAACATCCATCCTGAGCTAAACAAGAGAAACTACCATCTTGGCCAGTGGCAAGTGTTCGGAGGGCAGCAGAGAGGACCAAGCGTGTGTCACCTGGAGACTAAGAAATTAAGTTTTGTTTTGACATCTTCAGTCCTATGTGCTTTCAGAAAACCATTCTCTCTGCAAAGAAAGGAAACAGATTTGCAAACTTTAAAGTCTGTCGTGGATTTATTTATCCTCAGATTATTGTTATTGCATTAAATCTACCTTTTTGTTTTAAGTTGCTTGAACATTAATGTGTCTTCTGCATCACTTTTTTCTCCTCTGAAAAGTTTTTAATAAGCACATTCATTGTGAACAGAAATAGTTGGATTTTAGGAATTTTTGGAAGATTTGAATCTGAAAGTTGTTTTATTCATTGACAAATTTGTATCTTAAAAAAATATAAAAGTTGTCATCAGTGTCTTCAGAAAATAAAAAGAATAAAAGTCCAGACAGACAGACATAGTGGCTCCCACCTGTAATATCCTAGCACTTTGGGAAGCCGAGGCAGGATTGCTTGAGGCCAGGAACTCAGACCACCTTGGTGAACATAGTGAGACCCTGTCTCTATTTACGAAAAAAAAAAAAAGGATAGCGTCCCTGAGGCATAAGTTAATTTTTAAAATTAAAATTAACATGCATATTAGTAAGAGTATGAGTTGTGGATTATGAGATGCCATTGGTGCTTCACTTTTTTTTTTTTTTGGAGACAGGGTCTCTGTCAGGCTGCAGTGCAATGGTGCCATCACGGCTTACCTCAACTTCCCAGGCTCAGGTGATTCTGCCACTTCAGCTTCCAAAGTAGCTGGACTACAGGCAAGCACCACCACAGCCAGCTAATTTTTTTTTTTTTTTGTAGAGATGGGGTTTTGCCGTGTTGCCCAGGTGGTGTCAAAGGTGCTTTCCAACCTTTAGTGTGCACTACAATTTTGTAGTCTTGAAAATGGCTTTTTTCCCCCTCTTGACTTAGAGTTTTTAAGAGACAAATGGCAGGCTTTCCTACTTTTTCTTCTCAAAGCATTTCAGGTAAACTGATCGTTTCATTTTGATTATATTCAGGGCCTCTCCTATAATAGGAATTTGGACTGGATTTACTGATTTAGCCCTGGAATCGTGTGGAGCAGAATAAAGTGTGGTCAGGTTAAAACACATCAAATTTGGTCCTTAAAAAACATTTCTCTCAGCTGGGCGCGGTGGTGGCTCACACCTGTAATCCCAGCACTTTGGCAGGCCCTGACCTACTAAAAATACAAAAATTAGCTGGGCGTGGTGGCAGGCACCTGTAATCCCAGCTACGTCGGGAGGCTTGAGGCAGGAGAATTGCTTGAACCCGGGAGACGGAGGTTGCAGTGAGCCAAGATCACGCCATTGCACTCTA